TCCTAATAATTATCGTTTTATTTTGCTGCATTTGTTTTCCCCCAAGAATACTTTTACACAGAATTATAAAATATATTATGTACTTACTATATGCAGGTGTCATTCTAGGACATAGCATAAAAATTGACACAGTAGATTGTTATTATCCCTAGTTACTACTAAAGAAAAATTGACACAGTAGATTGTTTTTTTGTTTGTTTGTTTTCTTTTCTTTTTTTTTTTTTTTTGTCTTTTTCATTTTTATCGGTACCGGGTATCGAACTCACGACCGCTTGCTTGCAAGGCAGGTGCTTATGCCGCTGAGCTAAACTCCCAGCCCCAACACAGTAGATTATTATCCCTAGTTACTACTAAAAAAATGACAGAAAGATTAGTAATTTATTTATGATTATGAGAGTACTAAACTGAAATCTTCTGTTAGATTAGGATTTATTGTCTCAGAACCCAACTCCTGAGTCTGTACCCTTAACCATCATGCTGTTTTGCCTCTCAGATGATGATATGCATACAGTTTTGTAACCTACCTTTGTTAATTTAGTATTATGTCATAGATATTTTTAGATGCTATTTATTGTCTTCATAGTCATCACTTTAGAAGAATGTGTTAAACACTAACAATGACCTCAAGATCCAATTTAGGTGCCCTCAAACTTTTTAACTTACTATTGTAAAATAATTTGAGATTTTTCAGAAAAACAGCAAAGATAATACAAAGAGTCCCCTTATTCCTATTACCCATCTTCCTCTAATATTTTGTTTGGTGCTGGTGACTAAACTTAGTGTCTCATACATACTAAGCACTTACTAGATGGAGCTACACCCTCAGCTTCAATTTCTCCAAATATTATTTCATATAATCATAGTCTTAACTATCAAAATTAAGAAATTAATGCTGTTATAATTCTATTACATAAACTAAAGATTTTGTTTTCTACAAGTGTTTTTAAGAATAGCCCTTTCTATTCCATGATTCCACTATGAATTTAAGGATCAGTGACATTTATGTTCATGGTATAGTTGTTCATATTCCACATATATATTCACCTAAAAGCAGTAGAACAAATGTGAAATATACTTCAATCTCTAGTAAAGAAAAATCATGATGTGAACCTTTAAAAAATATACAGCTGTGCTGATGTTGATGGAGCACGTTTGTAATCTCACTTTTTTGGGAGTCTGAGGCTGGAAGATTATAAATTTAGGGGCGGTCTAGGCAATTTAGTGAGACCCTGTCTCAAAATTAAAAAGGCTAGGGATATAGTTTAACACCCCCTGAGTTCAATCCCCAGTATCACAAAACAAGTAAGTAAACAATTCACACTATCTGTGAAAACAAGTTAGTGATTTTGTGCCTTGATTTTCTTATGATAGTTACAGCTACTTTTGAGGGCTTTTATGTACCAGACTCTGTACTAGTTGTTGTGTTTCTCATAACAATCCTTCCAGAATGGTGTTACCATCAAGAGTTGGTTTGTCCAAGGTTTTACCCCTAGTTTAAAGCTGAAGTATGGAACAAGACAGCTTGACTTTCCCACTTAAGCCCTTAATCACTTTTTTTTTTTTGTTAACTTATGGTGTAATGTGACATGTATTGGCAGGTATTCTAAAAATAAAACAGTTTGGGCTGGGGATTTAGCTCAGCGGCATAAGTACCTGCCTTGCAAGCAGGTGGTCATGAGTTCGATCCCTGGTACCGATAAAAAAAAAACAAATAAAAAATCAAACAGTTTAATTATGATTTTTATCCTATAATCTCTAAATACTGGTGCTGGGCAGTGTTCAAAGCCCATGGTGTTGACTAATTACAAATATTATTTTTTTTAAGTGAAGTAACTGGATCCAGCAAGTATTCATGATATAGTAGGGATCCTGGAAGGCACTAGAGATGCAGTGGTTCAAGACTAAGCTAAAAGAAATCCTAGGCAGGTTATGACTGGTTATCAAATAGATTCTCTACCTTAAAATCTTAGAGATTGAATATGAGACGAGTCACTTTGGACTGGGGGAAGCTCTCCTCAGAAACGGAATTTGAATGAACCTTTCAAAATAGGACTTAGGTTAGGGGCTGGGGATTTAGCTCAGCGGCATAAGCACCTGCCTTGCAAGCAGGCAGTCGTGAGTTCGATCCCTGGTACCGATAAAAACGAAAAAGACAAAAAAAAAAAAAAAAATAGGACTTAGGTTAAAGGGAGAGAAAATGGCAAGTTTTGTATGTTTAAGTTACCATAGTAGATTTCTGCTTCTAATAGTTTGTCCACCAAATCCATGAGGGTTGTATTCTTGATTTTTGCATCTGGAGACATTGAAACTCTGTAAGGTTAAATAGTATTTCTAAGGTCACAGTGTTACTAAGCAATACATCCTAGATTTAAATCTAAGTTTGGTTGACTCCAGAGTTCATGTTCACCATTACATGCTCTATTATTTATCAGTGACATCGTTTTAATGTAAGTTGAGCAACGAAAGCTTTCTTAGATGTTTATCTATTGTGCGAACTCAAAATTTGAAATCTCTTCTACTAGAGACTCTTGCTAATACTAATAGTGAGACTGGGACACTAGTCTCCATTCTGTAATGGTACTTTTTTTTTTTTTTTTTTTTTGGTACAGGAGATTGAACTCACAATCTTGCACTTTCCAGGCAGGTGCTTATGCTGCTGAGCTAAATCCCTGGCCCTTGTAATGTTACTTTTTAAAGTGGGAGGGAGGTGCGGTTGATGAGGTATATAAAGAGTAGTGTGTTCTTGGTACTGCTGTGTTGACACCTAATTAGGAGTCAATATTGCAAGCATAATGTCTTGGCCAATTGGTGAACTGACTGCCCAAGTGACAGAGTTAAGAGTCCCTAGATAATAACAAAAGATAAAGAGTATTATTTACCATCCCAGTGCCACATAGTCACAGTGTTTGCATTAGCACACAAATACTAAAGTAGATTCTTCAGTGTTTGTATCTAAACTCTGGCCTTCGTAGCTGAGGTTAATATATCATAAAATTTGGTATGAAACCCAATCTTCCTAACTACAAATGTGTTTAGAGGAAAACAGACTGAGAATAGCTTTTCTTTCCTGAAAAACAAAAGAACAGTTAGGTTAGAGGAACACATGAAAAAGCAGATAAAATTTTTCACCATATATAGGCAGTATATTAACTACTGCCTTAAAAAAAACACAACCAAAATTATTCTGATATTTGGGATTTCTCTATGCTATTTTTTGAATGATGTGTTTCTCTTTCCCTTATCTGCGTTTAGTAAACAGATAGAGTAATACCTTATCTCAAAAGGTGATTGGATTTTTCCTTGTGTATTATAGCCATTTTTATTTGTATTTGGCCAATGGTATAATATATTAAATAGCTTACATTTATCTGTGGGCATTTCATATATATTTCTTAATGCTGAGAATCACAAATAGCAGTGTGGAATGCCTCACCCAGTCTGATTACAGTGGATGTGCAATTGGATTGAGGAATGTGTACTCAGAGCTTATGATCACTGGCCCGGTTGAGTCTGGGTGATGCATTTGGCTTTCCAGGGATGCTGCTATTTACATCTGTTAATGGCCCTTTTGATGGCCAGCTCCCCAATGAGGTGATATGCTGCAGCCTGGGGATGCGAGACCAAGGCTACAGATGTATGGCTGGCTCCATTAGGCAGGACCAGGAATGCTCATCTGGTCGGCTTTGTTTTGGCGGGTGAGTGGTGGGGGCAGGGAGGAAGATGAGAGACAGAAAGAAGGGAAAAACGTAGTAGGAAGAGCATTATGTATCCAAGAATATGGGAAACAGACAGGGAGACATGAAAAACTGCATCTCTAATGGAATGAAAATGAATAGAAAAGAAATAAAACTAATGAATAAAAAGTGAAAGGATTGACTCATTCTCATATAGAAAAGGATTAAAAGAGGAGAGGGCCATGGTTTGGGAAGAGACACACGGCCTCTGCCTTTTAAGTTGATACCATTTATTTGTGTGATCAGTTAGATGCACTAAATAGAGAGCAGGGAGTTACATATATCACAGTGCATCAAGAGATTAATTCTGTTCATCCTTTGGTTTTCTGGTATTGGGAGAAAGCAACCGAAGATACTCTCCAGAATGAAGTGTTGGGTGCATGCTTATAATGCCAACGCTTGGGAGGCCAAAGCAGGAGGATTGTTGCAAGTTTAAGGCCAGCCTGAACTGCCTGGTGAAATCATGACTCAAAAAGTCAAAAAAAAAAAGCCAATTTCAACTAATAGTACATTCTTGCAGAAATGAAAGATACCTGGAGCAAACAACTGAAGAATACTCCTTTTTTTTCTTTCTTTCTTTTTTTGTTTGTTTTTTGTGGGGTTTTTTGTTTGTTTGTTTTATTTGGTACCAGGGGTTGAACTCATGACCTTCCACTTACCAGACAGGCATTTATGCCACTGAGCTAAACCCCCAGCTTTTCTTTTTCTTTTTCTTTTTTCTCACAACCTCACACTTGCCAGGCAGGCACTTGTGCCACTGAGCTAAATTCCCAGCCCTAAATATTTCTGTTATATCAAATGCTTGAGGATAGTAAAAGCATTTCAGATCACATTCCATGAAAGGTGAATGTCTGGTCACATAATAGTAAAGGTTTCTTGGAACCAGTCTCAAGGAAGCTGCAAATAGACTGGTTTTGAGTAAGCCTGAAAAAGAAATTAAGGCAGTGTTGGGATACATAGTAAAGCAGCTTTTCTCCCAAATCTGGAGCAGTATACTAGATTTTTTTTTCTAGTTCTCAGCAAGAAACCTGGTTCTTCAGCATTGTACACCATCCCATGATGGATGTGTCTAGTTGTAACATCATTCCTTCAAGGAATGTGAAAAAAAAACTTTTCCCAGGGCCAGGGATTTAGCTCAGTGGTATAAGCACCTGCCTAACAAGTGTGAGGTCATGAATTCAATCCTGGCTACAAAAAAAAAAAAAAAAAAAAAAAAAAAAAATCTTCCTGTAAGAGGCTTATATTCACTTGTTTTATACTTTGCAGATTGGCATGGTAGCTTGGAAAATGACCCTCAAAAGTCCTGAGTATCCAGAAGGCCGGGATATCATTGTTATTGGAAATGACATCACATACCGAATTGGGTCCTTTGGGCCCCAGGAGGATTTGCTGTTTCTCAGAGCTTCTGAACTTGCCCGGGCAGAGGGTATTCCACGCATCTATGTAGCAGCCAACAGTGGAGCAAGAATTGGACTCGCAGAAGAAATCCGCCATATGTTTCATGTGGCCTGGGTAGATCCTGAGGATCCTTACAAGGTATAGATTAAAAAGAGACAATACTTTAGTACACTGTGTGTGTGTGTGTGTGTGTGTGTGTGTGTGTGTGTGTGTGTAAAAGTAGGGGAGAGGAAGTTTAAATTTGAAAGTCAGTTCTTATAATGAAAGTTAAATCAATAAAGTTATTTATGAAATTTCATTAAGACACTGTCTTTGAGACAAATGGTTTCTTAATATGTTCGTCTGGTTTTTCCTCCAGCTTTGAAATAAATGTCTATTTTTTTTTGTCAAACATTAGGTGAAATGATAGGAATGCATTTAGCATAAGACATGAAAAACTTAAAATACATATCTCTAAATTATTCTACTCTGGCTTTTAGGATTAAACCAGTCATCAACAAATCCCTTGTATTTTCTTCTCCTCCAACTTGCTTCCCATATTTGAAACCTCTCTTTCAAAGACTTGGTTTCCCTTGTAGCCTTCTTAAGTGGTGACTGATTTTTCTCTTTCCTTTTTACAGAACCTGGAGAGGGAATCCAGTTTTCTTGGAACCTCATTGCTACTTCCAGACTCTTTCTCCCCTCTTCCTGAGAGATCACATCTTTGAATCTCATGTCATTAGACTGTGCTATTGTCCTATCATTGTTCCTTACTGTGTCCCTCCACACTTTGGCCACAACCCATTGTTATTTGTATCTTTTAGTTCCTGGAAAATTGTTGCTTTATCCAGTGCTGTTAGTCATATAGTAATTCTTGTCAGTGCTTTATCCACATAATCCTTCCATAATCTGCTTTCTCTTGGATCCTTGACTTCTTCTCTTCTGATGGTCCTGTCCGCCAGCCTGGCTCAGCTTCTCATTTCTCATAATCTCAGTTTCAAGCATCCCTTTATTTGCCACCCCTCCATCTGTTTTTCACTCTCTCCCTACATCTTGTTCTTATTTAGCTTCAATTCCAAGGTTAGCCATTATAATCTGACCCTCAACTTTTTTTTTTGTTTCTCCCTTCATTCTGCTTAGTTTGAGCCTTTATAAAAACCTTGTTTAAATTCACTCTCTGACTTCATGTGTGTACCTGTACAGCTGACAGCTGAGACAAAAACATGCAGTTGTGTTGACTGATCTTACTTTAATTCAAGCTTACCAAACTCCTGCATGGCACTTTCACATCTTCTTTCTCCTCAAACCCTCTTAGTATCTCTCCCCTCTCCCATTCTCCCTCTGAGCCAGTGTTAGACCTCAGTTCCCTGTTTACTGAGAAACAGAAGGAAACAGAAGAAAGCTCTACAAACTTACATCTGTTCCCTTGCTCTCTGCTTTCTCTCCTGTGCTTTGGATAAACAATTCCTCCTCCACTTCAAGGCCATCCTTCTACACTTGATCATCTCCCTCCTTGTCAACTTACATATGTAGACAAACACTTCTTTTGCCTCTTTATTGCATTACTGCCTTTTCCATTTTTTCCAGATTTACGATTTTCTGCATACAAGCACTTACCCTTGAGTCACTAACCTTATTCTGCTTTCTTTCCCTTCTTAAAGTAGTTGCCTATTCTGGGCCAGGCACAGAATCACACCTCTGTAATGTGAGCTACTAGGGAGACTAAGAAGAAAGGACTGCAAATTTGAGACCAACATGTGTAACTTAACAGGATTCTGTTTTCAGATCAAATGAAAAAAAGACTAGAGGAGTGGCTCAGTGGTAGAATATTTGCTTAGCATGGCTGACACCCTGGGTCCAATCTGTAGAACTAAAGGGGCAAAAGGGTTTTCCATTCTTGTGATCTCCATGTACTCTTCTCTTGTTCCCTCTTGAGCCCACTTCAGTGACTCTTCTCCGTTCCACTATAGTTGCTTTTGTCACAGTCACCAGTGTTTCATATAAATTCACATGAATTCTCAGTCCTCATCTTAGTTATCTGATGACATGTGACACATTTGATAACTCCATCTTTGAATTACTTTCTCTTGTTGGCTTCATGACCTCAAGATTGCCTTTTTATCTTTCTACCTTGCTGGCTCTTTTCTTAGTTTTCTTTGGTGTCTTTAACATCTTTACAATGTAAATCTTACATGTAAGATTGTTTCAGGGTGTGATAGAAATATACTATATTTTGAATGTGGTAGTGGTTATATACAATGTTCAGAACTCATCAAATTGTAACACTTAAAGATGATAAAGTTTATTGCATATAGCTTACAGTTCATTAAAATTCATTCAAAAAATATGTGGAAATTGCTAGTGACTGCTAATATTTATGAGGTTTTTGGAGGAGAATTAGAGTGCTTTCATCAGAATATACTAAAAACATCAGAATATACTAAAAACTACTAAATTGTATACAGCATGTTAGATTCATACCATGTCACTATACTTTGTGTAAGAATACAGTATGGATATGTATGCAAGTAAATTAATTATGAAATGGTGGTATAGTGTTATAAGTGTAATTAGGAGTTATTTATTGAAAAAAGAAAAAGAGATGAGTTTAGAGGTCACTATCATCACTATATATTTCTGATTTTTAATATTTTGTTTTGTTTTTAGTTTTCAGTGATTTCTAAATTTTGAATAAACTAGATTTATAATCCTGTTATTACTTACCCATGTATATGATAGGTAATGAGATATACTGTAGATTTGACTTTTTTAATACATAGATTTGAGAGAGTGAAGAATAGCAATTTGCTGAAGTGTTTAATTTTGTGTTAATATCTTTAATAGAGATGTCACTAAAGATCTAAAAATGACTCTTTACCCCTGTTGAGTTGAAATCAATAAAATATACTTGGAGTTGCAACTACATGGTATCTTGTTTCCAGAACAGGTATCAGTAACAAAAAATAAATACTTATATCTTTCAAAGGAGATCTATGCTAATATCCTATTAGATGATAACTCTGAGAAGTGATACGGCAATGTAAAGCTACTTTGGAAAAAGTCTCATTATGCATGCTTTGCTGTGTCTTCTGGTTATGTGACAATAACAAGACCTATCTGCACTTCACAGGGATACAAGTATTTATATTTGACCCCTCAAGATTATAAGAGAGTCAGTGCTCTCAACTCTGTCTATTGTGAACATGTGGAAGATGAAGGAGAATCCAGGTAAGTGTTTAGATATCAAAATAATTTGGCTATGACTAAAGAAAAGAGAATATATTCTTTTTTTTTCTCTACCATTCTGCTAATCATGACCTTGAAGAGCAGTGAAGATTACTTGTTACAAAATTTAGATGTCTTAGATTTTTATTTTAGCTCTACCACTTAATAGCTGAAAGACTTTATTATTGATTAAGGTTTTAAAATTGTGTTTATAATACCTATTCATTTTAGAATAATAAAAACCTGTAAACAATTAAGAAGAAAAAAGTCAGCACAGTCTGATCCTGAGGCCTCAATTATGAATTTACATATTCTGTCTTTTCTATATTCATACCTTTTTTTCAAAATAATTGGGATTATAATAAGATTTTTCTTTAAATTTATTTTGTTCACTAAAATCTATTTCTAGAGAAATTTTTATATTCTTAAAATTTTCTTTTGAGACAAGGTCTCACTTATAGTTCAGGCTGCCCTTGAACTCACTGGTAGCCCAAACAGGACTTGAACTCATAGCAATTGTCCTACTTGAGTGCTGGGATTATAGGCATGCACCACCATGCCTGGTCTAAAATATTTGAATATATGAAAGCTAAATGATTTCATAGTACTTCATCATAATAAATATATCATATTTGAACATTTAAGCTATTTCCAGTTTTTCACTATTATAACCCTGAGCTGAAGATTCATTTGTGAAATTGTTAAATAGTATCTTTGATTATATCCTGTAGGTTAATTCCTAGAACTGGAATTACTGGTTAAGAAATATTTCCATTGAGCGTGGTAACACATCTATTCTCCTAGCTACTGGGAGGCTGAGGCAGAAAGATCACAAGTTTGAGGTCAGACTTTTCAACTTAGAGAAATTTATTCTCAAAACAAAATTTTAAAAAGGATTGGGGGATATAACTCAGTGCTTCCTGAGTTCAACACTCAATACTGAAAAACAAAAAAATCCATCTTTAAGGATTTAAAAAATAATTTCAAATTGTTCTTCCAAGATCTACTTTAGTCCTAGTTCATAGTATGTGATAGTGCTTGTTTCATCTCTTTTAATTTTCTCTATCCTTGCCAACATTGATTATTGTCAATTAATAAAGTAGGATAAAACAGCACTTGTTATTTTAACTTGTATTTTTGATTACCAGTGAAGCTGAACGTTTTTATAATCTCTTTGCAAGTAGTTCCTAGAATGTTAATTCCTCCAACACTATTTATTGCATAATTCATGTTCTTATTTTTTTGTTCTATCTCTTTTTGTGCTAATGACATGCTGTTTTAACTATTCTAGTGAGGCAGATTTCTTATGTTCTTAATTTTCCCCCGTGTCTTTCTAGTTATTTTTGCTCTTTTTTTTTATATATATAGGATCGTTTTTTAAAAATTAGTTCCCCCCCAAAAAAAATTAGTTCCCCAAAACATTTCATAATGTTTTTATTCTGATCACATTAGAATTACATATTAACCTATGAAAATCTGATTTCTTCCTAATATAAACTCTTCTTCTCCTCATACTGACTCTTCTCCAAAGAAACATAATATGTTTTTCTGTGTATTCAAGTGTTTGCTTTTAAGGTTGTAGTTTTTTTCCATGTAGTCTATGCCAGGGCTGGGGATTTAGCTCAGCGGCATAAGCACCTGCCTTGGAAGCAGGCGGTCGTGAGTTCGATCCCCGGCACCGGTAAAAATGAAAAAGACAAAAAAAAAAAAAAAAAAAATCATGTAGTCTATGCCAGAGGTTCCCAAACTTTGTTGCTTCATGGTGCCCTTGGTCACCCAATAATTTTTTCACAGAACCCCTAGGGCTAAAGAATTTAATTAATACTATATTTTTGCCAGTTAAGTGAGTAAACTCAAATAACTTTATGCTTATATCCTAACAACTTAATTTTCAAATAGAATAATACATGTAAATTTAAAATACTATTTTATTCTTAAATAATTATTTACTCACTAATGGGTTTGTATCTATATAATAGCCCCAGTTCTAGAACAACCATAGATATGGCCACCCTTATTTCTTGTTTTTCATTGATTTTTTTGTGTAGAGCTTGGTTTTCTCCCACAACCTGCCATAACCTGGTTTTGTAAAGATAGGACGCTGTCAAAAGAATGTAGACTATCTCATGCTAAACCTTGCCTTGCCTAAAACTAGTCATTCACATGAGTTTAACAGATATCAAATGTCATATAATGTTTCTCTCAAAAATTAAAAGTATCAGGCTGGGGATTTAGCTCAGCGGCATAAGCGCCTGTCTGGCAAGCACAAGGTCATGAGTTTGATCCCCAATACCAAAAAAGAAAAGTTAAAAGTATCTTGCAATATCCTTAGGAGTTCACTGTGGTATCCTGGAACACATTGAGGTTTGATGCGCTGCTGTCTTTGTGTTTATTTCTGAATTGCTAATCTACATACTATTTTTTTCCTGTTACATATATTTTTAACTACTTCACTACTGGCTTTTGTAAAGCTGTTAGTTTTGTATATGATTCTGTTTTTTTTTAAAAAGTCATTTTTTTTCTTTGAGATTTCCTATCTGAAAGATGAACCAAGACGCTTAGCACAGAATAAACAATTGAATATCCTGGTTGTTATCATTACTGTGTATAATAATGAAAATGATATTCCTTATCACGTTGGATTGTTGTAAGATCAAAAATCATGTACATAATTGTATTGTTCATTATAATACACTATATAAATGCTTATTATCATATTAAGATTTAGTTCTACTTCAAAAAATGATAGCCCCATTTATAGAAGACTCAGGTCAGAAAGCATAAAATGGGAACTTTTAATTCTTTTTCATGTAATACAAAGGGAGGTGTCACTTAACAAACCATGAACACCTTTGAAGTAATCTGCAACCTTTACATGGCAAGAATATGCTTTACACGAAAAGCTGACTGGGCTCATGAGTTTGTGACTATGTGACATGTATACCTTATAAAAAGAACACTTTACTCCTCAAATGATTGTAGTTCATTAACTCCTTAAGGAATATTATCTTCATCTAAAACATAACTCTAGACTCTTAAGGTCTAGATATAAAACAAAAGGAAGAATAGGAGAATCATCAAATATTAGGAGAGGCTAAAAATGAAAGCTAGGAGAATCTCAGAAGCAGTAATGCAAAGACTCAGACCAATAGTAAGGGCAAAGAAGTGGAATTAATGGAGGGCTGGACAAAAAGAAGGGTGTAGAGAAATATGATAGGAGGAAATAGTTTAAAAGCCACTATGGGATACTTATTTATTATTTCAATTTGTAAAATTGTGCCCAGTGCCAAGCCTTCGAGTATACATGGAACAATAAATAATATATGCTCATTTCTACTTCTAACTTTGTATTCTTCCTGTCTTTTATTAGTTGCATTCCCCATCTCCCATTTCCCATTATCAGCTATCACTCCTAATCCCCTGCCAGAAAGACAGATGAGTGACTCCCAGTAGACCCACAAGATGCTTTTGGACAACTTGGCCAGCATTTCACTTCTACACACATTCTACCTACCCCTCCAGAGAACTGTAGCAAAGAACCCTCATGTATACACTTGATAATTATGAAAGAGCAAAAATGAAAGTATATATTTTGACCTTTCTCTTCTTTCTTATCTTGGAAGAAAAGAATTTTTGGCTTGGGAAACTAAATTGAGCATTTCCACTACTCCTTTGAGTTTTTTAATTCCTGTATAAATTGTCAAAAGTTTGATTTAATTGCTATTGCTTATTATAGAAATATACATTGACCCTGCTTTCAAGAAACTTGTTCTGAAAAGTAGAAAAGGTATCTAAAAATCTGATGGTCATTTAGGTCAAGCTTTCTCCTTGTTGCTTTAATTCCCATGTCAGCTCTTAAAGGTAGGTAATATTATCCTCGTGCTATAGAAGTTATTACTCCAGAGTTACATCACTGCATATATCAGAAAAAGGATTTAAACCAATTTGCTTAAGCACAGATACTGCGTTTTCTGTTATACTAAATCCAGACAATATAGAACCAAACTTAAGAAAGACATATAAATGAAGAATATTAAAGACTTCAAGATCTTTGTGTTAACTACAAATTTTTAATATGCTTTTAGTTGTCTTTTAGTGATTATTTTCCACTTAATAGATTGTTGTTACTGTGCTTAATTTTTTTTATGCTTTGGCATGACTATAATAGGTACAAGATAACAGATATTATTGGAAAAGAAGAGGGACTTGGAGCAGAAAACCTTCGAGGTTCAGGGATGATTGCTGGAGAATCTTCATTGGCCTATGATGAAATCATCACCATCAGCCTGGTAAATATTCCCAGAATATGATCCTCCTCCCCCTCCCGCCTGCCTGCACCCAGAATTTGGAACCAAACTCAGAGTTTTGCATGTACTATACAAGTATTATACTACCTACCTATATCACTAGGCCCCAGAATGTGAAATTTCTGAAGAGCTGGCTGTGTGACTAAGTTTATTTCTGCCATCACTGTTACTCAGTCCCAAATGAAAGCATTTCTTGTTTTCCTTTTTTTTTTTTCTTTCCTTGTTTGTTTTTTTAGACAAGGTCCCTCTATGCAGTTCAGGCTAGCCTTGAACATACTATGTAACCCAAGCTGGCCTCATATTCACAACAATCCACTTGCCTCGGCCTCCCAAGTGCTGGATTTACAGATGTGCACCACCATTCCTTGCCTAAACCTTTTCTGCTTTGGGGTGGGGAGGTGACAACAGGGATCGAACTCATGACCTCACACTCGACAGGCAGGAGCTTATACTGCTGAGCTAAATCCCAGCCCCAAAATCATTTCTTGGAAATTATGTATCTATAGTTTTATTTTAATTATGCATGGTAATGGCAAGATATAACAATATCAATTAACAGATTTTCCAAATAAACCTATTTATTTTAGCCTTTTTGGGTATTTTTTGAAACATGACCTCAATGTGTAACGTAGGCTGGCCTTGAACTCACTTATTTAGCCCGGGCTGGTCTTGAACTCAAGGCAGTCCTCCTCACTCAACTTCCCAAGTTATTTTATCCTTTAATGTAACTTATTTCTCTAAATATTCTTCCAGATTTTTTTTTTTTTTTGAGACAGGGTCTTACTATGTAGATGTAATAAAAGCTAGTTTTAAACTATGTAGCCCAGGCTGGCCTCCAGTTTACAGTGATCCTCCTGCCTCAGCCTCCAAAGTGCTAGGATTATAGGCATGCACTACCACACTTGGTTCTACCAGATTTTTAACTTGAATTTCTTTTAGCTTGAATTTCTTGTCTTCCTAGTATTTTCCTTGCTCATACCTATAATAGGGATGGCAGTCATCTGTGAAATGGGCAAGTAAGCAGGCTATGATTATTGAAGATCCTGCTACTGGTATTTTTAGATGAATTTTGTCTCTTCTTTGACTAGGAATGTTATTTGGTATCATTATTACTCAAACAGACTTCACAAAAAGCAGAATTTATTTCTGTTCATATACATTTTAGAGATTTTATATATGCTTTGGTTTTTGTAGTTTGAGAAGATACAAACATGTGACACACAGAATTTATTCTTTTTTTAAGGTGACATGCCGGGCCATTGGAATTGGGGCTTACCTTGTTCGTCTAGGACAGAGAACCATCCAAGTTGAGAATTCTCACTTGATTTTAACAGGAGCCGGTGCCCTCAACAAAGTAAGTTTCTAGAGTTTGAGAGAACTGTGTTAAAGCCTATGAAGATTGTCATGAATTTGTAGTCCAAGATCCTGATCGACATGACTTAATCCATGTTTCCCTCAGTCTGTTCTTCCCTTCTCCCCGTGTCATTCTTGTCCATTGACTTTTTTGTCTTTTCATTCAACAAAATCCTTGCTCCAAAAAACTTATTTTAGTCTCATTCCAGAAGACAGAATTATTTGAATTTGAATGCTTCTGTTCTGTCCCTACTCCCTCCATTTTTCTTACTTATGAATACTCTTATCAGGAAATCTGTTTTCACACACAGAGCTGTCTCAGGATCCAGTTTACTAAGTCCTATTTGGGGTCTACAACGTGAATGAAGTACTGATTAAAGGTGTTGAGAATATCTAATTTTAATGTTTTGAATATTCCTTTTAAAAAGGGCATATGTGGTAGTCCTTTAAGTATGAAGATTGGTGAATGAACTCATAAATAGGTTTGTTGAGGAAGACTATGCCATAGACATTTATCTTTCCTTCCTCAGAAAGACTTATGCTATTTTACAACTCATTTTTTTTCTCCGCTCTCTCCAGTGCTGGGAGTTGAACCCAGGGCCTCCTGAATGCTAGAACATATACCACCACTCAACTACAACACCAGCTTAGTTCATGCCTTATTCACCAAGTTCATAAGGGCTTTTCTGAAAGGGATAATGATATCTGAGAAAGAACCATACAAAAAAACCAGAATATACAAAAGATAATGCAGTTCCTCACCAATTTTTAGGGATAGGATGTCTAGAGGCAAAAATATATGATGGGATTAAGCTTATAGAATTGTTCATATACTAAATCATGTTGGGTATTGTATTTATGAGACCAGCAGAAAGTTTTTATCAAACACTGATTTTCAAATGTAAGTTTAGGCACTAAGTATCATTACTATTTAGAAAAAGTTCATAATTCTTTTGATCCAATTAGCTGTTTAGAGATACCAGAAATTAGAGATATTGTTTGATACAATTTGTTCTATTCCTTCATATGAACTCTGTCATTCTTTGGATTTGCTTTCTTTTTCAAGCAAAGACAGAGTACTGCTAACAATAACAAATTTAGCTGTCTTCCTCTTTTTAGAGAATAGCCTAGAAATAAAGATTATGAACTGCTGCTACTAAAGATGACTGCAACGAGAGAAATAGTTGAGAGTCGTAAAAAATTTTTTTTAAGTTGCTGTTAGGATAAGATATTGATGAACATTGAAAAGTTTTAGGTGCCATTGTCTACAAGGATAGAATTTTAAAATGTTTTCTGTGATATTTTCCTATATGGATACAGAGATAATTTCTGAAAAATACCTTGTTACATTAAGCCTCTCTGTCTCTCTGTCTCTATCTCTGTCTGTCTGTTTCTCTTATACATACACACAAACACACACACATATACACACAGATACTATATGATAAAGAATATTAGAAAAATCAAAGATTGTTGGTTTGGTGGGTATTTTAGTGCCAAGGATTGAACTCATGACCTTGCATTTGCCAAGCAGGCACTCATGCCGCTGAGCTAAACCCCCGTTGGGGATATTTTAATTGGTTGGCTTAGAGGGTTTTTTGCCTGAAAACTTACCAGTTCCATTTCATAGGTGCCATAAAAAAAGGTTTAGGAATATTTTTCTTAAAATTTTGTTGAATTGTTCAGATTACATTCAGTGTATTCACCTTCCTAGTCTACAGAGCTGCTGATTAAAGGAAACGCCTAGTAGTAGAGGGAAAGAAAGTCAAGCTATTGTTGTAACTTACCAAACACTGATCATTTCTAGAAGGATGTGATCATTTTTAGTTGAAGAGGGTGATCATTTATAGATGTTACCTAATCCTGCTTTGCCTGCTTCACTATCTTCATGTCAGCACCTCTTAAGTATAGAGTCATATTGCTCAAAGACACTTGATTTCATGCACATTCATTAAGAATGTCCTATTAGTCTATTTGCTTATCAGGTATGAAAAAGGAAACTATTCCAGAACTACCATGCTCAGATTGCTTCCTCTGTCCTACTCATTGTGTATATTCTGTCTCTTGTCTGTGCTGATGTCTTTCAGGTCTCGGTTTGTCTTTCTTTCTGCAGTTATCTTTGTTTCGCTTAGTGGGTGTGTACAAGCCATTCTCAGTACATGTCTCTTTCTGTGTGAGTGCTGATCTTTCTGTCTCTTTGTTTCTGTGTCTTGCTTATAGATCCCTGTATCTGCTCATCCCTGTATCCATGTGTGGGAAAGTCTTTGTGTGTTTCAAATGCTCTAGAGTCTCCCTTTTAAGCCTTGACCATTTTGCTCATAGTATTTGTGTTCCTATATAAAGTAGAAAAGTAGGCAAGCATATATGCAAGCTTATATATCTTAGACTATAAACATTTAACCTTTAACTTTCTGAGGCTTCATCCTTTATGTTAAACATTGAGGTGAAGCATAAGAAGGGAGGGGCACAGGGGTTGCTGCAAAAAAATCTTGTGTGTGCAAGTGCCGATCCCGTTGACCCCTTTGAAAATTGAAATAATGATAATGCGCGTCTCCTGACTGCATCAAAGTATCAGCACATCAAAAGCCAGGAGGCATGAAATGCAAATGATAAAGTGAAAGCAGATGGATTGTGCATGATCGCCTGATGCCCAATGAATTTTAAAAGGTGCTGGTTTGCGGGGGGGGGGGTAGGAGCATGGGGGGTGGGAGACTGAAATAAACACGTTATCCCTGCAATTTTTTTTGTTCTTGATGCTTACTCCTGACAGTATTTTTTCACACTTGAGTGAGCACCCACTCCATCTCTCTCTCTCTTTCTCCCTCTCTCGTTCTCTCTTTCTCTCTGCTCCAACTTCCCCCTCCCTACCCCATCCCACCTCTTACATGTCTCAGGTCATGTCGCTGCAGCTCCAGTGGAAATAATAAGATATAAACCACGAGGTTGTTATTTGCATAGAAATAGCATGGAGCCCCAGGCAGCAAGAGAGAAGGACACAGGGATCATTTGTCTAAAATTTTAATGAAAACTTTTGCTGAGGCAGAGATTTTTTAAAAACTTTCTTCTTCCCTGCTTTTCTCTAACCCTTTCCACCCGCTGTAGCCCTATCACTGATTTAACTTAACAAGGTTTCATTTGAAGAGAAAGGGTGACATGGCACACATCATACTTTTTTTTTTGTACCAGGGATTGAACTCAGGACTTTGTGCTTGCCAGGCAAGTACTTATGCCATTGAGCTATATCCCTGGCCCACACATCATACTTATGTAACACAGCAACATGTCAGTTGTTTATTCTTTAGCAAATATGAAGCTGAAGAGGCACACATTCCCAACCTAATACTTTGCATTTGTACATCATGCTTTTATGGTTACATTCCATCTCTTACACACCTGATACTTAGTAATTTGGGTTTTTTTTTTTTTTTTTTGTCTTTTTCTTTCTTATCAGTACTGAGGATCGAACTCACGACCACATGCTTGCAAGGCAGGTGCTTATGCCACTGAGCTAAATCCCCAGCCCCTAGTAATTTGTTCTTAACTAGTTTACATCTTCCTACTTTTTTCCCTCCAAAGGCTCTGACTTTCTAAAAGATACATATATAGTTACATATATAGAGATGTATAGATATAGATATAGCTAACAGTAGTAACATGCACATAAAATATGAATGTGGTAGTTTTCTGGTATCCTTTTCTATCTTCCATGGTTTTATTGTACATGTTTTATCCATGGGCACTGTCTTTTGTTACTGTATCCTTTGTCCCAAAATCAGAAAGTACTTCCCATATTTATATTTTTCCCTTTACTCTGTGGATCTCAGCATCTGTATTTTGTTTATGCATCTGTCTTGCTTTGTTGCCTAACATTACTTGTAAAGTATTTATATTACCAGGTTGAGGAGAAATATAGTTTCTGGATTTCTTAAATGTTGTGGTGCAGATTTGAACATTGAATTGAAAGCAGTGATTTCTGCTTGGCAAGCACAAGGTCATGAGTTCAATACCCAGTACCAAAAAAAAAAAAAAAAAAAGGCAATGATCTCATGTCTAGGGTAGCCCAGATGACTTATTTTAAACTCAAAATCAAGAACATCTGATTCTTTGCTATCTTCTGTGATGGGCTAATAGTATTGGGCCATTTTACAGATGAGAATACTGAAAGAGAATTGACAGACTGGATCAGAGTGAAAACATGAATTTTATGTCCCAAAGTTTTCTTGGGGAAGGACTCAGGTCTCTATGCTTGGTATCCAGTAGACCTACAGAGAAAGCAATCTGATCATTTCCTTTTTTCAAATGTCATGAGAGAGGCGACATGAATTAGAAGCATTTTTATGGGCCTGTTGTTCTATATCGCTGAATATAGTAAGCCATAGGTTCCTAATTCTAGGAACTGTAGGCAGCATATTCTTCAGATTACTTCACTGAGTAATTTTCAGATTACTTCACTGATGAGGTATACCTGATGGAGGTGACAAACTATCCTATGTGAAGGGAGTCATACTGTCATGCAAAGGCATTAATCTGTGTGCTTGAGATATTGACAAGGTGGACCTGTAAGGAGCTGAGGTGATTTGCAGAGTCATAAATGTCTAGGTCCAAGTGCCACTTAAACCTCGTAATAACATTCATATTTCTCTCCTCAATCATACCTCCTCTCAGTTTCTATTCCATATATTTAACATAGCATCAGATAACATCTAGACTGAAGGACCTGCATCCTTTGGAAATACTGATACAGGCTAGAACCTGCTAGCTCTTAGCCCAGTGCCCTAGACTCAATGAGAACCCACTCTATATGTAGAAATCAGAATCTGCAGTTTATGGGCATCCTCTATAACTTCCTGTGAAGGTAAGGTTTCTGCCAGTGGTGATGGTGTGGGTGTTTGATACACTCTTGAGGTCATGTATGACTTCCTTGTGTTATGCATTTTAAAATTTATGCTTTTCTTTTAGCAAAAGGGGAAAGAGTATTATAATCGTATCCCCCTTAGTGAT